GTTTCGGGATCCCGACCATCGCCATGTTCATCTCTGTTATCGTTTTTGTGTTTGGGTACCCGCTTTACATCAGGAAGAAGCCTGGAGGTAGTCCGTTGATCAGAATGGCCCAGGTGGTGGTGGCGGCCGTGAAAAAGAGGAAGCTTGATGGACCTGCCGATGTCAGGCTTCTGTATCAGGATCAGGAGCTTGATGCTGATATAACCACCGCCGGCCGTCTCTCGCATACCAAGCAGTTCAAGTAAGTGTTAGGCGATCGTCGCCGACGGCGAAAACTTTTTATTTGTTATTATTTTTGAATTACTAAATCAGCGGCTGCAGATTCTTGAACCGGGCGGCGATTGTCACCGACGGCGACAAAACCGACACCGGCCGGTTGAGACCATGGCGGCTATCAACCGTCCACCGCATCGAAGAGCTGAAATCGTTCATTCGCATCCTCCCCATCTGGTCCGTCGGGATCCTCCTCGTCCCCTCTGCGGCCAACAACTTTACCTTGGGCATCATCCAAGCCAAGACCATGAACCGTCACCTCGCCGGAGACTTCCACATCCCTCCGGCCACCCTCTTGATCTTCTCCGCCATCTCCATGCTCCTCACTCTCACCATCTACGACCGCCTCATCGTTCCCCTTGCCCGCCGCCTCACTAACCACCCCGACGGCATCTCCCACCTCCGCCGCATTGGCATCGGCCTCGCCATCTCCATCCTCTCCAACGTCGCCTCCGCGCTCGTCGAGAACCGTCGCCGCCGGGCCGTCCACAAAATTAGTGTTTTCTGGCTGGTGCCGCAGTACGCGGTACATGGTGTGGCGGAGGGTTTGGCGTCGGTTGGTCTGATGGAGTTTCTTTACGACCAATCGCCGGAGAGCATGAGGAGCATATCGGCGGCGCTTTACTGGCTGTCAATATCGTTGGGGCACTACGGTAGTACGATGCTGGTGACGATGGTGAACGATTTCACTAAGAAGACGAAGCAGGGGAGTTGGTTACAGAACAATATCGATAAAGGGAGGCTTGATTATTTCTACTGGTTGGTGGCCGGGCTCCAAGTCTTCAACTTTGGATATTATCTTGTCTGTGCGAGGTTTTATGTGTTTAAGAGGTTAGAGATCGCCGGAGATCCGAATCCGTCGGAGGATGCGGAGGAGAAGGGTGGTGGTGAAGTTGAGCCAGCAGTGGCAGCTTAGGCTTAGAGCGTGCTGAAACCAGATTTTCATCAGTTGGAAATGTTATGGACTTTGGCA